GCCAACAATTTCTTACAAAATATAAAGATAAATTTATTTTTTCCCACAAATCTTGACAAGGTTTATTTTATTTTATTTTTTACTTATTTTTCTCTCCACAACTCCTATTATGTATTGATTATATTTTTTCCCATCATTTTCTTACAAAATTTTTTTATCTATTCAAATGCATGTGAGAAAACAATTTTTTATTTATTTTTCAGATAATTATTGAAAAGTCCGACTTAAGAAGAGTATAAGACGTTAGGTCCAGTGAATATTTTTTATTGATAAAAGATCCACCATTTGTGAAATAGTTTGGTGAAAGGTCCTTTTATTTGTTTTAAATGATATTTTGTTTTCAATTTTACCCTTTAATTTATTTGTTACTTTTTCTTTTTTTTATTATTTGTTCAAATTTATATCTATCTATTCAAATTTTTTGACTATCTGTTTAAATTTTTTAATTATCTTTTCAAATTTGTATCTATTCAATTTTAATCTGCCTAAACTTTTTCTTAGTTGTCCAAATTTATCTGTTCAATTACTAAAGTTAATCCGTAGTTTTGAGGCAAGTTGGTTAAAAAAAAATTTCCTCAAGAAAGATAATACTCAACCCATAGGATCATAGCACAAATATTAAAACTTCAACTATTGTCAGTAGTAATATTATTTTCTCCATACTACAAAAATGTTATAAAAGAATCATCATAACATCTAGAACTAGAAATCATGAAACCCTAATCTAGAACTAGTTAATTTAGGAGGTGTTTGGAAAGTGATTACTTTTTTGATCATTTGATTATTTTAATAGATTATTTTAATTTTTACGTCTAAGAAAAGGGGTTAGATTTTTTATTTGATTGTTGTATTAAAAAATATGTTTGAAATGATGTAGAAAGGGAAATGACAAAATTGCCTCTATTGATTGAATGATTGCACTTGTTTTAAAAAACTTTCAAGGGCAAAATCATCTTTTGGCATACCTAGGCCAGTCGTGCCACACTTCACGTGAACCGGTTGCAAATGGGGGGTTGCACTTGTTTTTTTTGTTTGCATCTGCTTTTTGGCTTTTTTCTACTTTGATGCTATTTTAACCCCTAAACTCATTTCTCAAACACCCCCTATTGAAAACAAAACTTTTGACTGATGGACTAATAATCCGATTCCTTGCTTCGATTTTCATCAATAATATGCTCCTCTGCTGTTATTGAGTATTGATCCAAGCGATCCCAACAACACGAAAGCCAAAAGAGAGCTAACATCCAGAGTACTTAATATAGGAGGAATGATGTTCCTAAAGAGACAAACAAAAAAAAAACAAAAATTAAATCATCAACAACAACCAAATCATCTTCATAAAACATATATATAGAGATTTAGAAAATCAAAAGTCAAATCCACGAAAAACATACAATATATATATATATATCATGGGACTTTCAATCGGATAAGAGAGAGAAGAGAGAGGCTTACGACGGTGGTGGTGGCAGTGGTGGCAGCAATAGTGATTGCGATAGTCATGGTAGCGGTGGCGGTGGCCAAGATTTTGATTCATAGGAGGCACCATTAATCCTGAACAATATCAATTACAAAACTTAACGAAATTTAATTTTCATTTGGTGATAGAATGATCAAAGATCAACGCGATGTCAACATTATGTGCCTTAGATATGTTTTAATTAACAATTTTTTTTTATTTGCTATTTAAGTCACTAAATAGGATAATAAGCACAATTTAAAATGTAATAACATGCATATCAAAAAAAATTGAAAAAGAAGAAGAAAATGGATGAGGAGAAAAACAAGAGAGAAATGAGAGAGATAGAAATAATTATAAGAGAAAATTTAGAAAAAATTAAACATTTATAATGGTAAATTACCAGGAATTTATTAAAAGGAAAGATGAGATATAAACATTTTGAAACATATTTAAAAATTAAAAGGGAGTTAAATAAAAAACTTTTTCTAATTAAAAGTAGACGTATAATTTTTAAAAAATGAGAGGGGCACGTGCCCCCTCGAACCCTCTATAGTTTCGACGACGGCGTGAGAAGATCGGCAGCGAATGGTGAAGAGAAGAGGGAGAGAGGGTGGCAACGAAGGTAGTAGCAGCAGCAGTGGTGGTCGCGACAATCAAGATAACGGTGGCAAAGGCATCGGCGTTAACAGGAAATCGGATGAGGAGACAATGACATGAATGTGATATAGGAGACGAAAAGAAAAAAAGAGGAGAGAGGAGAGAAGAAAAAAGAAGGAGAGAAAGAAAACTTAGACAACATTTTTAAGAGCTTGAGCTTTAGGGTTAGGGTTTACATATATCCTCTATCTCTATATCTCTCTCTCTCTCTCTCTTGTGTTTATAAAGATTAATTTCGTGGCCTACAGATAAAGATAAAGATTAAATAATTGATCTTCAAAAAATTAAAATAATAGAATTTAGAATTTACCCATTTTTCTCTCCACAACTCCTATTATGTATTTATTATGTATTGATTATATTTTTTCCTATCATTTTCTTACAAATTTTTTTTATCTATTCAAATGCATGTAAGAAAACAAATTTTTATTTATTTTTGGGATAATTATTGAAAAGTAACTCTTAATTAAGAAGGGTATAAGACATTAAGTCTAGTGAATATTTTTTATTGGTAAAAGATTCACCCTTTGTTTTCAATGATATTTTGTTTTTAATTTTACCTTTTAATTTATTTGTTACTTTTTTTTTTTCACTATTTGTTCAAATTTATGTCTATCTATTCAAATTTTTTGACTATCTGTTTAAATTTTTTAATTATCTTTTCAAATTTGTATCTATTCAATTTTAATCTGCCTAAACTTTTTCCTATTTGTCCAAATTTATCCGTTCAATTACTAAAGTTAATCCGTAGTTTTGAGGCAAGTTGGTTAAAAAAGAATTTCCTCAAGAAAGATAACAGTCAACCCATAGGATCATAGCACAAATATTAAAACTTCAACTATTGTCAGTAGTAAATATTATTTTCTCCATACTACAAAATGTTATCAAAGAATCATCATCACATCTAGAACTAGAAATCACGAATCTAGAACTAGTTAATCGAGGAGGTGTTTGGAAAGTGACTATTTTTTTTATTTTTTGATTATGTGATTATTTTAGGTCTCGTTTGACAAGTAACTTTTTTAATTAAAAAGTTAAAAAGTCACTAAAAAAATTAAAAAATCAACAACTTATACTAAAAAGTTAAAGATTTTATTTTTTCTTTATTTTTTACACATCTTTTCGTAGAAAATTAAAAAGTCATCACAAACATACTAAATTTTTTTTTATGTCATATTTTAGCTAAAAAATAAAAAAATTATTAAAAAAGTATGTTTCCAAACGAAGCCTTAGTAAGTTATTTTAGTTTTTGTATTTAGAAAATGAGTTAGATTTTTTATTTAATTATTATATTAGAAAATATATTTAAAATGATGTGGAAAAGGAAATGACAAAATTATCTCTAATGATTGAATGATTGCACTTGTTTTTAAAAACTTTGATGGGCAAAATGGTCTTTTCGCATAGCTAGGCCAGTCGTGCCACACTTCACGTGAACCTGTTGCAAATGGGTTGCACTTGTTTTTTCGTTTGCATACGCTTTTTGGCTTTTTACTATTATTTTTTTTAAAATTTTTTTTTAACCCCAAAAAAATAAGAAAGCTCTGAGATGTCATCAAGTACCTCCAGTTGAAAACAAAACTCTGACTGATGGACTAATAATCCTTGCTCCAATTTTCATCGATAGCATGCTCCTCTGCTATTATTGAGTATTAATCCAAGCGTCCCCAACATCGCGAAAGCCAGAGCTAATATCTAGAGTATTATATATGAGGAATGATGTTCCTAAAGAGACAAAAAAAAATTAAAAAAAAAAAAATCATCAACAACAACCAAATCATCTTCATAAAACATATATATACAGATCTGGAGTCAATTTAAAATCTAATCTTTTGATTTGTTTTCAATCTAAATCATTCGTCAATTTTTGTTAAGTAAAACTGTCATAAAAGTGTATTTTAGTTATTAAACTCAATGAAAACTAATACTTTAGACATTTTCCATATACATACATTCAGTGGGGGAGACAAGATTTTGATTCATAGGGGGCACCATTAATCCTTAACAATATCAATTACAAAACTTAACGAAATCTAATTTTCATTTGGTGATAGAATGATCAAAGATCAATGTGATGTCAAAATTATGTGCTTTAGATATGTTTTAATTAACAATTTTTTTTATTTGCTATTTAAGTTACTAAATATGATGATAATCACAATTTAAATGCAATAACACACATGCCAAAAAAAAAATTGAAAAGAAGAAGAAAATAGATGAGGAGAGAAATGAGAGAGATAGAAATAATTATAAGAGAAAATTTAGAAAAAATTAAAAATTTATAATGATAAATTACAGGAAATTTATTAAAAAGAAAGAAAAAAGAAAGATGAGATATAAGCATTTTAAAACATATTTAAAAATTAAAAAGGAGTTAAATGAAAAACTTTTTCTAATTAGAGGTAGAAGTATAATTTTCAAAATTTTCAAAAAATGAGAGGGGCACGTGCTCCCGAATCCCATGTAGCTTCGACGACGGCGTGAGAAGATCAGCAACGGATGGTGAAGAGAAGCGAGGGAAGAGGATAAGGAGAGAGAGAGGAGATGGAGGTAGTGGTGGTCGCGACAATCACAATAGTAATGGTAGAGGCATCAGCGTTAATAAGAAATTAGATGAGAAGGCGATGACATGAATGTGATATAGGAGATGAAAAGAGAGAAAGAAAAGGAAGGAGAGTGGAAGAGTGAGTGATTTTGTTTTTTAACTTTCCACGAGTTATAAAAAAAATATATATATCAATAAGTAATTTAATCATTTTATAAGAGTTTGTCTTTAGAATATAAATTTGTAGACAAAGAAAATTCATAATTAAACTTATGAAGCCAGTCTTTTTTATTATTTATTTTTTATCTCGAGTCACTTTCTAAACCAACTGAACCTAATTATTGGTATAAATTTTATTTATTATTTTAAATTAGAAAAATGGGTAAGCAAGTTTGAGGGAGCGAGGGAGAAGGCGAAAAAGATGGCATGCAGCGCCCCCTGTGCTCTATCCTTATTTGTTTGGTATTTTCTTCTCATCCTTTTATCTCTCTCGCTCATATTCTTTCACTTTCTCTCTCTATTTGTCTTCTATTGATATTCAATTTTTCTCTCTCTAGTTTCCTCGAATCTCCTTCGGTTGATTCGGGTCCTGAGAAAGCCCAAGTTGTTGCGGACCCAGCTCAGTCATGGATTCCTTCCTAGTGGCTGAATTTCAACCTCTCTTTTCGGTCTTGGTTTTTGTATTCCCCATCTCTCTCTCTCTCTCTCTCTCTCTCTCTCTCTCTCTCTCTCTCTCATACGCTTTCTTTGTTTATATAACCTACAAGGGTGTTCACTTTATAATAGTATAGATTATATATATATATTTATTCAGCTCTTTATATGTATGCATGATTTGTCTGTTTCAGCTTCAGCCAAGTTGGGGTTTTGATGGTAATGTGGTGGTCTGAGTGGTTAGTTATTCAACAACAGCCATGAATTCTTCTTCCTTTGAGGGTAAATCCTTTTTATTATTTTATTATTATATATATATATTTTTTGGTTATGTATTTTTTGGGTAGTTGTAAGTGAATGAATATTGATGATTGAATTAGAATGTTCCCCATATTTGTGTTTTGAGGGTCTTCTGGTGATGGGGTCACAAAGTTGTATCTGATCTGCTTATTTTTCATAATTGCACCAGTATTCTATGATTTTGTTATTTTCTATGATTTGGGAATCATGGAATTTTCTGGGTTTTCTTTGGTATTGATTGAGGGTGCTCATGTTAGGTTCTAATGTTACCCTTCCTTTATGGCACTCAAGATTACATAATTCTTAACAAAATGTGTTGTTTTTGGTGGGTAAACTTTCTTATAGAAATTTTGAGTTGGCTTGTTGTATGTATACTGATTTTATATTGCTAATAATACCTTTTCTCTACATATTGGTATAAGTCATCATTATCTAGAATTCTTACCTATGAAGAAGTAAGCATATATTATTTGATGGATTCGTGTCATACGGGGGAGTCATCATATCAAATAACCTGTTTGGCGGCCCTTAAAAAGAGTCCAGACAAAGTTGGAAATTGCAAAGTCAAACAAAGTTGGGTTTAGTACCCTGCTTCTTTTAATCTGTTGCACAAGGTTTAAATAATGACGTCCTTTGTGTAATTTTATGGGACTTTCAATCATTAGTTATTCATTATTATTGTTATTATTATTTTTCTATTGGAATAGCTTTTTGTTTAATTTGTCAAATAATAACCATTTAGGGCAATGGAAAGAGAAAGAGGGTTTAATTGTTAAGGGAGTCTCACAATTAGGTTGAAATGGAGATAAAACACCTGTAGTTTGAATATGATGTAAATTAGCTATTAAAAGGTCTTGCTTGATTTATATTATCTTTCTGGTCACTTCTTTTTGACATAACTGGGACTAAATTTCATCTTAATGGGGGAAAGAGAAAGACAGCTTGAGGATTTAAAATTTTGAGGTTCATGTGTTTTCCATGGAATATTCCAACCCACTCAAATTGAGATTTCTTTCCCTCTTCCTTCTAGCATTCTTATTGTAATTCTTTATTTTTATTTTTTGGGCCCCAGGAGTTGTGCTTGATCCAGCAAAATGCAGTAAGTTGAGCATGGAGGAAAAGAGAGAACTTGTTTATGAATTATCAAAGTGGTCACATGGTGCCCCTGAAATGCTTCAGTCGTGGAGCCGGCAGGAGATTTTGCAGATATTGTGTGCAGAGATGGGAAAAGAAAGGAAATATACTGGCTTGACAAAGTTGAAAATTATAGAAAACCTTTTAAAAATTGTATCTGAAAAGAAATTGCAGGGGCATGAGACTGCAACAGACCTTGACCCAGAGTCTTCACCTGCAGTTGGGCAAAGGGCATCCAAAAGGCAGAGGAAAACTGATCACCCTAATCGAATACCTGGTGCAGTGAACAATCTTTTAATCAACAATGGCGAAAGTGATATAGATAATACTATATACTGCAAAAACGCAGCGTGCAGAGCGAAATTAAGTCAAGAATATACATTTTGCAAGAGGTGCTCATGCTGCATCTGTCGTCAGTATGATGACAACAAGGACCCGAGCTTGTGGTTAACTTGCTGCTCAGAGCCTCCTTTTCAAGGTGATTCATGTGGTATGTCATGTCATTTGGAATGTGCTTTAAGGCATGAAAAATCTGGGATTGCAAAAAATGGCATGGATGGCAGCTTCTTTTGTGTGTCTTGCGGGAAAGTGAATGATTTGCTCGGGTACATCCCCACCCTGTTTCCTTTTTTAGATTGTTCTCTTTCTTTTTCTTTGATAGATTGCACCACTTTATGAAAGTTCTATGTTTTACTGAGATGTTCTCTTGCATTTTCAAATCTTTGTTGAGGATCAAATTTGTTTTGCTATGTTGTTTTAGTTAGCTTGGAAACAAAAACATTCGGGAAACATTTTGAAATGTTCTGAAAACATATGAGAAATGACAAGGCAATTTTAAAATGTTTGAAAGTGTTACAAAACTAAATTTTAATATAAATGCTAATGCATCTCAACAATTAAATAATTGAACATGGTGAGGTCTATGGGGCTCGTTTGACAAAAAAATGTGTGCAATTTATTTAGCTTGAATGAAATTTGAAATTCCATGGTTAAGTAGTTGTAGTTTGAAAACTTGAAGGTGTTTTAGTAAAAGATTTTAAATTTTCAGTTTATTTGCTTTTTTAGCTCAAAATAAGCTCAAAAAGCCAACTTTTTTGAAGTTGGGATTGAGATGTCCTTTTTAAGCTATCTTTAAGTTCGTCCAAACAACCTATATTCATATTAGAAACTCATAAATAAAAGGTCTAAAGGCTTATTTGGGAGAATTTGTCATTGCAAGAAAACACATAAAACATGCAAAACCATAATGGTATTGGGGATGGAACCAAAAGAAAGAAAATGGTACTGGTGGCAATCTTTATAAGAAAAGTTGTTTGTGGTACAAATGAAGAGAATAAGTGACTTGATCATGTTTGTTTTATATTTCATCTCTGTCTTTTCTCTTCTCCTTTCTACATACATATTATCATGCAAATCATACTTGAATGCATGAACCCTCAGAGTTATGGTTAGAAACTTAGGGTTATGGTTAGAAACTTAGGATTGTGCAGAAGTAGAACTGGCCAATGGGAGGGCAGTCTTGTTGACAAATGGCATCGTAATTCCTATGAGAACTCTCTTTTATTAGCTTGGTTAGGTTATTTTGTAGGGTTTATTTGTTCAAATAGTTTGGTGTTGTGTTAGAGAGGTTTTTTCCTTTCCTTTTCCTAGAAGGGTCTCTTATACATCTTTTGAATTTCCTTTCGGGGGTCAATAAAATTTTCAGGTTGCTTAACTAAATAGCAGAAAACTTGGATGAACTGTAAAATTGGATGTCATGTGTTCAATCCTTACGAGCAATATGGCTTTACCTGATAAAGGTGGTTTGCGGATGTCATTTAATGTTGCAAATCTTCAACTCTATGAGCTTGCCTAATAGGTCCCAACTAAAAATGAACTGATTTCCAAATTTCTCAGTTCTTAAATTTTTTCCCTTTTCTTGGGAATTGGGATTTTTATTGGTCTGCATTAGACTGAAGTTTACTTTTCGTCACTGTTGTGGTTAATGGACTTTGTTGCACATGCCCAAATCATGTTTCTTCTTTCTTTCTTTCTTTATATATTTATTTTTCCCAATATGCTACTTCTATATCTCAAGAATGTATTTGTTGCAAATTTTATTTTTTCCCATCTTACCATACATATATTTCAACATTCGCACTTTAGAACGTCTTTATTTTACAAATATGATAATAAGCATGGACACGTGATACAACATGGGCAGGATACAAATATGCTAACACAATAATTTTTAAAACATATAGGACACGACACGTGGGAGACACAAGAAAAATAGATAGTTTTATGTATTTATTATGTCACATATATGTATATTCCGTTCAAAGGTAATAAAAATTGTGCAACATAACATGAATTTCTAAAGTTTAAAATAAGATGGATTAATAGATATAATTCTATATTATTTTTCTTTTATAATTAGATCCTAAGTTATTTTTTTTAAACTTGATATTATAGAATTGGCCTAAACAAGGTTGGCCTAAGGTTGATAATATAGATATAAATCCCTCTCTCTCTCTCTCTCAATATTATAGAATTCTGTTAGAATCTTCCAAGGAATATCTCAGAACGTATCATTCTGTTAGGATTTGCTTTGATCCCCAACACTCTGTGCATTAGCCCAATGGTGGGGTCTCACTTTTAGTAAGGCTGGCCTAAGCAGTGCCCCCGGAGCACCATGTTGAGCGACACTTTTATCTAGCCACCAAACCACAAAACCACAAAACCCCAAAGTCTTGTAGTACCTTGCTGAAGACTCCAGTATACTAAGTTACACCTCTTGACTTATGTATAAAGGAATGATATGGTGCAACAACCTCAGAGGTAAGACTGTTCAATGCAACCTCTGCAACAACTGGAGTCATATAAATCATTTGAATTGTGCTGTTCAACCACCGGTAAACTAATGCTTGTGTGATATGATCTTTTGTTGTGAGACTTTGACATATTATCTTAATGCGATGAAGTTTCCTCAAGGACATCATCTTGACACATGCTGTTCAATAATGTGCACTCTTGAACAACATATCCCTTCACACCACACATAAAGAAAACATACACAAATAAATTTCCATATGGGGTGGGTTTTGTGGGATTGGTAAAATCAATTTTCTTTCCATGTGATTGTTTAATCAGAGAATTCCAATTGGTTTTAGGTTCATGAATTACATTTTTCTTTTCTTTCACATCTATTTCAGTTTTGTCCCCAATATCTTCTCAACGCTTATTGCATGTTCAAGTTTGTTAGTGCTTTCTTTCATCTTTTTCTCTTTCTTAGCATTCTCAGTTTTATTTTTCAATTCAAGTTCTATGTGAGTAATCTTGGTTTTGAAAACATTATTGTGCCAAAGAACCTTATCATCTTCTACCTCAAGAAACTTAACCATTTCAATTAGAGAGGAATTTTTATTTTAAGTAATCAAATCTAAAATTTATTAATTTTTCACTTATTTTTTTCAGTTTCAATCTCATTCACTCTCTCCTTAAGTTTTAGGGGTTGTTTGGAGTGTCCTAAATAAGTACACTTTTTGTCTTTTTGGACTAAAAAGTTGAGGAAAAAAATATGGATGTTTGGGTTAACTTTTTGACTTTTTATGAAAAAATGTGTATTAAAAAATTGTATAAATAAGTGTGTAGGAGAAGATTGTGATAGAAGTGATGGAATAGCTGGTGAGGGATAGTGGGTGCAGAGTGGGGGGAGGGGGAGATGATTCCCTGCTTTTCGGGTAGTGAATTGAAGGTGTTGTTCGGCCCGTGGGGGCCTATCACGGGTCCCGTTTTGCTAATAAAAACCGTTTGATGTGTAGAACTCATTGAGTACTATATGCTATTAAAAAATCACGTTGATCGGATATCGATAGCTATCTGATCGAATTAGTTTTTTTTCAACCGTTAACTATAACACCATCCATTTTATAAATTTTAACTGATTTGATCATATAGTTACCGATATCCGATGAACGTAATTTTTGACAGGTATATAGTACTCGACGAGTTCTACACATTCAACGGTCCAGATTATTGAAACGGGACCCGTGATGGCCACATAGGCCGAGCAGCACCGTGTTGTGTGTACACCTAAATAAGTGCAATTTTTCCCACAACAATGCTCCGCCTGCTCTGCCGTTATGATTGTTTGAAAAGGAAGATGGTGTAAAATTAATTTTTTAATATTTTTTATTTGTGAATAGTAATGTCTTTTTTACTTTTTGTGGAATTTTTTGTCTTTTTGAATTATTTTTGGGTTGCCAAACTTGGCCTTAGTTTCTTGTTTAGGTTTTTGGTCACAACAACACACTTTTGAAGAAGTTTTATCATACATATCAGCCATATCCTTATCTTCGACAGTCTCTACTTCATCTGAACTTAAACTAGGTGTGTCACAGTCAAAAAAGAAGGCTATGATGTTAGCAACATCTCAGCATCCGATCCATTATTAGAAGAATCAGATTTTGTCTCAGAACAATCAGACCATGTCACATTCTTTGGTTTTTTCATGAGATTTTTTCTTTTGAAGGGGACAATAAGCTTTAATGTGGCCAAGTTTGTGATAATAGTTAAGATTAGCGTTTTTTGTTTTTAAATTTTGATTGTAACCTTTTTATTTTGTTTGGCCTTTAGAAAATTTTTGAACTGTTTGGTCAACAAGGCAATGTTAGCAGTTTCAAGGTAATCATTTTCCTCATCTAAAGCTTTTTGAAGCTACTCCTTTTGATTTCTTGTTTGGTTTTTATTTGAAAGGTTTGTAGAGTTCCTACGAGTTCTTCCACTTCTAGTTTTGATACGTCCCTAATGATCTAAGTAAACCTATCAAGCAAAGATCTCAAAATTTCCGTGATAATTGTAGACTCTTTCATGAGCTTGCCATGGTTATGACATTGTGTATCAATATCATTCAGTCTGGTGTAAACTCTATAGAAGTCTCATCTCATGTTCCTCCATCCTAATAGTTGAGTGACAAAGAACTGCAATTTAGAGTTCTTGATAGATGTACCCCTCATGTGTAACCTGAAGCACATCCCATGCCTCCTTGGCTGTGGTGCAAGTGGAGATCTTACGGAACACACTAGGTAAAACTCCAACAATAGCCGTGGAGTTGTAATTTGTACCAGCGAACTAAGCTATAGTCTAGTTGAACTTAACCTTAGAAAGAATGACTTGATCAACCGTTATGGTAGGGTGGGTCCAACCCTCTTCCACAGACATCCAAACTTTCTCATCTAAAGATTGAAGAAAAATTCACATCCTAGTTGTCTAGAAAGAATAGTTTGAGCAATAAAAAACAGGTGGTTTAGAGATATATATTTTTTAGACATTATTCCAACAATCAGAAATAACTACAAAATTTAAGAATTCCCACTGTGATACAAATTGGGGCCAAATATAAGGTTGTAAAACTCTGTTTCGTTATCCAGTTTTCAAAATCAAATTTTGAGTTTTCAATTCGTATTTCTTTATTTTTAGTGAATGTTGAAAAGATAAGAATTGAAAACTCATTGGATAACCAAACAGAAATGTTTTCAAGTCAAAGTGCACATAAATAATAGCGTAAGTTATTTTTCTGTTAAACAAATTGACAAGAATATTTAAATTGACAAGAATATTTAAATTAAGGTAATTAAACAAAATATTCCAATTAATTATCCAATAGTAGATAATCAACTGCACAAGAAAGAAACCAAGGTTTGTGTGGAAAAAACCCGAACCCAGCGTAAGATACTATGGATGCAAACTCCACTAAAAAAACCTATAAAACCATGCCTATGGGTCCTATAAGTGAAGCTTATTAACTAATCTAATCTTTATTCCTAAGCTAAACTAACTAAGGTTAAGAACACAAATAAACCCAACCGAACAGACTAAGAAGATAAAAACTAAATGATATTCTGCATGAGTTTTTATCTCTCCACTGAAGACAAGATTATCTATATAACCAAGGCTTGAAAGCTGAAGTCGTCTTGAATATTTCTTCACAACAGAACATGCTCAAGACCCAACCAAGCCTAACTACATAGTATAAAATTACAGATTCAATCTTTAGAGTGAAATTGCCAACACAAAAAATGACTAAGTGGTGACTAAACATTTTTCCTAACATCATTTTAGCGTCTACTATTGGCCATCAATAATGCTTCATCCATGGCCTATGGAGGGTGCGTCCATTGTGGTGCATTGGTGTAGGGTGTTGCTGGAAGGACTATGTGAATGTGTGTTTTTTTTTTTTTTTGAACAGCATGTGAATGTGTTATATATGTATGTATTTTTGTGTAGTATTGAGAGGGTGGGTTGCAGCGTATGTTGTTCCACTGTGGGTTTGTGTGGTGTGATCCATGAAAGAAGATGGAATGGCAGTGGGTGGTACAGGGTGGCAATGGAGGAAGGGGTGGTGGGAAAGGGTATTGCTGGTGGTTGGTTTACATAGATATACATGTGCGTGTGTGTGTATAGGGGTTTGGTTCAGAAGAGAGGAAGAAGATTGGGGTATTTTCATCAATTCAAAGTTCCGTTAATACATATTAGCGGTGTGTTTTAATCCACAAACAGTTAGAGGTTACGTGCTTATTTCCAAATGACAGGGGCTTGTGTGTACATGGCCCAAACCACATGGGATAAAGTGAATTTGCCCTAATTTTTTAATGCTACATTTAGTTCATCATGAGGAAAAACCAAATCTGAAATTTGGAAAATTAATAGAAAATTGGAGTTTGGAGTTGGTTTTATAAGCTTTTGAAGTATTCTTTTCTTTCCTGTAATTTCTCAGCTATCAAATGGAGTTTTATTTTATAGTTAGCAATTTTAGAATTTATTGAAGACTGGTCGAATGTCTTTTATTAGCCATAACTTTGCCATTTATTTGTATTATTATTTTATATGTATATGCCTTCATTCAAGCACTTTTTTCCATCTAGCATGCATTTGTCAGGACTTAATGAGTACCTGGTTGCATTATTACCTTAAAATTTTCCTTCAGACATTATGTGTCCTTGCTAATTGAAGTCTCATCTGATATTTCTCAATTCTAGTGAAACTGTAGTCTATTTTTCATTGTATTTTTAAATATCCTAAGCTTTTGATACTTTATTTGTTTTATTGGTACTTTTTCGATAAATCAGCAGGTACTATGTTTTGTTTGTTTACTGATAGTGAAGATTAAATTCTGGACTGGATGACCTCCAACTGCTATATACTATTTTCATAATGATCATAATAAAAACAATGCCCAAATAGTATACATTAATGTGTGTTTGGGAGGGGAAACATTGGGTACACAGCTAACGTTTGGCATAGTGCACAAAGTGGTTGCCCCGAGACTTAGCATAAGAGTCTTGTCGGACAGTTTACAGAGTCTTGTCGGACCCATGAAGGAGCTAACCGGAATCAATGTCGGGACAGTTTACAGAGTCTTGTCGGACCCCTAAAAAATCGCATCCTCAAAAGGTGCGCTCAATTTTTCAAAAGGCGTGCCATCAAAAGGCGTGCCCAATCCATAAAAAGACGTGCCATCAAAAGTTGGAAAATTAATAGAAAATTGGAGTTTGGAGTGGGTGTTATAAGCTTTGAAGTATTCTTTTCTTTCCTGTAATATAAGAATTCATTGAAGACTGGTCGAATGTCTTTTATTAGCCATAACTTTGCCATTTATTTGTATTATTATTTTATATGTATATGCCTTCATTCAAGCACTTTTTTCCATCTAGCATGCATTTGTCAGGACTTAATGAGTACCTGGTTGCGTTATTACCTTAAAATTTTCCTTCAGACATTATGTGTCCTTGCTAATTGAAGTCTCATATGATATTTCTCAATTCTAGTGAAACTGTAGTCTATTTTTCATTGTATTTTTAAATATCGTAAGCTTTTGATACTTTATTTGTTTTATTAGTACTTTTTCGATAAATCAGCAGGTACTATGTTTTGTTTGTTTACTGATAGTGAAGATTAAATTCTGGACTGGATGACCTCCAACTGCTATATACTATTTTCATAATGATCATAATAAAAACAATGTCCAAATAGTATACATTAATGTGTGTTTGGGAGGGGAAACATTGGGTACACAGCTAACTTTAGCATAGTGCACAAAGTGGTTGCCCCGAGACTTAGCATAAGAATATTCTTTTATGCTTCTGTCCAGCTCTCTCTCTTTCTCCCCTTAGCATAAGAATATTCTGAAATTTTGCATCTGTTTAGTTCATCTCTGTGACATTGTTAATTTAGCATCATAAATACCTAAGGTTATTGGATGCCATGTGGAAAGTGAACAATGACAAACTTGCAAGACTAAGTGAAGCCTGTCATGCTTAGGCAAGCAGCTGGCTACTTGGTAATAAGGTAAGAACCCGGTGGCCTTGTGTGTCAGGGTGCTCTCATATGTGAAAATTCAACCAGACCGTAGCTTCTTTCTCATCTGCTCGCTTATTGTTTCTTTTTCGAAAGTTCATTATTTTAACCATTAACTCTTCTTTTGATCCTCAGTTTGTTTGTTTGTTTGTTTTGTTTTGTTATCCAACTTTCGACTCTGGTAAAACAGCACCCAAGATCCATGAATGTTCCACATCTCGAACTATGTCAAATTAATCTGTCTGTGAACTGTGATCACTATCTAGTGAAAAAGGAAAAGATGTGATGTTTTGAGAATTAGTAACATTCATCCGCATCCACTAACACTGCTCCATGCTTGGGTGGGGGAAGAGAGAGGTTCATGAAATGTTTTTGATATACCTTTTAGAAATTCAAAAGATGATTGGATGGTTGTAAAGTTTTCCACTTTTGTGATAGGTCAACTCTTCTGAGGGTGAAAGAAATAATTTTTTAGAATATTACTTCGTTCAAACTGGCACCCAAGCATTCCATTGAAATTGTAAGATGTCCATTTGTTTCCTGCCCTATTGGGTGGAGCAAATAAATTTTATAGCTTAATAAAAGTATGTTATATTCTTTTCCAAGACAATACAGAGATTCATAGCTTCCTGTGTTTGTGCTTCCTTGAATCTTTAAGACAATTGATCATATGTTTTGCCATCACTAGGATGGTATCATATGATTGGGGTTGCTTGACTTTACGATATGGGCCCTGGGTTGTCCTTTCCTCTGTTTTGCGCCTCTCTTTCTCGGTCGTGCATGTCATCACTCTCGACTGGACTGAATTAACCTGATCATATCCGAATGGTTCTATTTTATTCTTTCTATGGTTTGGGGGAGGGGTGGTTTCAAGAATCTACTTGGGTCCCATGTGTCTATATTGGTGGTTGAAGTTTCCCTCTTTAGCTATGTCGTTGCCAATTTTGTGAGGACACTAGTAAGTTGTTAATGAGTCTCCCTCTGTGTGTGCGTGTGTGTGTGTGTGAGATATGTGAATATATGTTAGCTGGTATGCTTGTCTATGGAAGGCAAATGATTGTCCAGTCAACTGTTTTATTTTATGGGTCTTGTTAATGTGTGCACTTAGGCACATGTTAAGAGGCTTAAAAAAGATGTACATTATTTATTGCACTCACTTTCATGCAAAATGTACAATATTTTTAAGCCTCTTAACATGTGCCACACATTAACAAAATCCTTATTTTATTAATCAGTATATCTATAAGTGAATGATCTACCCCCAGGTTAATTATGTTTATCTTCTTTTTGGCACCCTATCCTTTTCATATACTATGTGAAGTTAGCCAAAAATCTCTTGCTCTTTCTCTCACCAATTTTCAGTTAAAAAAATCTTGAAGACTCTAAACATTATGGCAAAGAGAATATTTCCATTTTAGATTGACACTATTGATTCTGGTCGAAGGCTTTCTTTGTGTTTCATTTGTTCAATATTTGGAGTAAAATAGGTTTGCATATTATTTTTGAGGACAAAATTGAATTTCAGTTGAAGTGAAATTATTGTCAGAGGTTCACTGAAGTATTAAGCCTTAATCACACAGTACCAGAATAAATTGCTGAACAAACAAGTTAAAAATATCATTCAGTTGATTTCTATAAATTCTGTAGATGCTGGAGAAAACAACTGATGACAGCAAAGGATACCAGGCGGGTTGATACATTGTGCTATCGTGTCTCCTTGAGCCAAAAGCTTCTTGCTGGTACCAAATGTTACCAGAAGCTTTATGAAATCGTGGATGAAGCAGTGAAGAAGCTTGAAGCCGATGTGGGTCCTTTAACCGGTTTACCTGTGAAGAAGGCAAGGGGTATTGTCAACAGGCTCTCTGTAGGCCCAGAGGTTCAAAGACTTTGCGCTTTTGCAGTGGAGTCCCTAGATTTGATGCTTTCCAAAACTGTTTTCCATGTGTCATCCAATCATGTGATTCAAGGTCAGCTTTATTCATTAGCATCGTGTAACAATATCACTTCTGATGGATTTTCCATATGTAAGGTGCTGACCCTATGTAACAAGAGGAATGGTCAAACTTGTGCTGGCAGTAATTTTGAAGCTTTACCTGAATGCTTTTATTTTTCGGAAAACAAAATGTGGACTCACTGGTTGTCCAGTTTCCTTGTTATAAAGGTTGGCACTTGAACTTTCTGCTCCCGGAAAATCCATGAGACTTGTTGGTTATGAGAATAATTTAGCCTTTTATTTTGGGTAAATTGCAATAATCTCCATTGAGGTTTGGAGAAAATATAGTAAGACCCCACAAGTTTGGCATAATTACATCAGGTTCCCGTAAGATTTTAATTTATATAACATTTGGCCTCCTTTCTCATCAGTAATTCGTTAGTCATATAGTTGGAATAGTGATGTTGTCATCTCTTTTATATTGAAATATATATTTCACCTTGTTTGTTTTTGCATTTCCACACCATCTGCATTGGTTCTAGTCCCTTTAACCTTGTTAAAAGGGAGATCAGTGTCTTATGCCAAAACTGTGGGGTTTGTTGTATTTTCTTCAATCTTTGGGAAATCTTTGTAATTTGCCGCTTAAATATTTCGTAGATTTCTCCCATAAGAGATGTGCATCAGCTCTTTCTTTGTTTTTTTTCTGCCCTTTGGTAAACAAGCATGAAAATTTAGGGCAAGTAGCAATCTTTAAGCTGCGACTTGGGACTTTATACTTGCAGAATCCAATTTGACAGCTTCAAATGTAATCCGGTTTGAAGATGTCTGCCCTTCATCTCTCACTGTGATATTCGGTTCTGAAGACGCACCACTGAAAAATGTTGGGGGTTATACCCTGTGGCACCGTAAAGCTGAAGATATGCACTATCCAGCAGAACCAACGTGCACATTGTATACACCAAATACAAGGTTTTTGCTGTCCAGTCTAAATCCAGCTACAGAGTATGTTTTTAAGGTCATTTGGTTTGATAGCACTAGAGAGTTGGGGACATATGAAGTTCAGTATTGGACAGGTAGTGTTGGGGATGAAATCTCCAATCTGAAAAACTTGGTAGTTGAAAGAAGGGAAAGTCAACCGAGTAATTCTAGCAGTTTATCTAATCCGTCTTCTGTGGAGGATGAAACTAACTACATTGCTCCCTGCATCAATGAGAATGAGAACAGAGAGGACAAAATTGTTTCTGCAAATATATCTTCTGATGTGTTTCTGAGCGGTGGCACGGTTCCAGGAGGAACTTTGGGAGATCCAGTGTCTTTATTGGATGAGGAAGGTGCCATGGAGAAAACTAGCTCCATCCCAAATTCTGATGCTTTAAATCTCGAGAACAAGTACTCTCCAGAAGGCCAAGCCATTGAAGAGACTAGCACTGACAATGGGTCAAATACCCATGTTCAGACCGGCATGAACTGCGTGCCATTTCTGGGTAGCTCGGAAGCTGACTTGCCCATCACACCTTGTAAATTGGAAAATATCAAGGATGGCCCGGGAAGAAATGTGAGATCCAAACCTAACAACAAGGATCATCTTGATAGTGGGTCCGGGAGGGAAGAGGAACCCCAAGCGGGCAGCTCATCAAAGAAAAGTGGTGAAAGACGAGAAGAAGAGCATTCTGGTATTGGCAATAGGGATTTAGGGTATTATGTGAAAGTGATCAGATGGTTGGAGTGTGAGGGACATATTGAGACAACTTTTAGGCAGAAGTTTCTGACTTGGTACAGCTTGAGAGCAACCCCACAAGAAGTGAGGGTTGTGAAGGTGTTTGTTGATACTCTTATTGATGATCCAGCGTCTCTAGCGGGGCAGCTTGTCGACACTTTTTTAGAAGCTATTTCAAGCAAGAGATCCTTTGTCGTGCCATCTGGGTTTTGCATGAAGCTTTGGCATTGACAAGTTTCAGAAATTCAAATGATTTATCAAACCCAAATGCGGTTTGTGTAGGTATAATTCTTCGGACCCCCAAAAAATGTCTTAAGCATTATTCAATTAGACTATAATTATTGAAATTTGATCATTGGTATTTGCCATTCTTCATGATGGCAAGACATCAGAGCTCATTTCTTATGTAGAAAAGTTATCATTCCTAGATATGCTTTATTTTAACAGCTGATAAATTATTTAAGTTCTTTTTTATGGGTAATGTATGGACGTGTTGAGCAGTTATTGTTTTTTCAAATTTTATTTTCCTTGATGGATAGGATTAAACAGAGAATTATATATGGGCTTGAGTTGGATGAATTGGAGGCACTGGTTTTTGAGCAATGCTACATTTACTTAAAATTTTATTAACAATCTTACTAAAAACATTAATGTCCAAATTTCATTGGAGATTTAAATATTATTGTTTTTTTGACAATCAATCACATTTAACCGTTTGTATTTTTTTAGTAAGATTTTTTTTATGGGTAGAATTATTCCTAATATATAGTTCGAGTCTATGTGGAGGAAAAAAAGAGAGAAAAAACGAGGGGTTGGTGGTCAGATGACCATCTTATATCATCCGTCACTGGCAATCGACAGTTACTACCTTTGGCGGTTGGCAATCGGCAGTCATCTCCTGCAATTGCTTTTTGATCATCCATCGCCGGCTTCCACTTTTTAAAGAATTTTTGACGTGGATCTCTAGCTTTCAATTAACACCATCATATCATGTAAAATACTGTCAAATCTATTAAAATTTTACCGATTCGTATCAACACACACCATTCAATCCGTTAACTGCAGATTAAATTTTAAATTTTATAATCTGTTTTCGAAACTGTTCCGCTCTGCTATAGTTAATACATATATATTTTTTAACTTCTAATGAAATATCAAAATAAAAATGAGTGTGAGAAAGATTTAAAATGTGAAATTTATTACAAATTATTAGTTATATATATGAAAAAATATTATGTAAAATTAGTTTGTATTAAATATGTATAAAAAATATTGTGCAAATTAGTGTTATATATTTTATAAATATTTGATAATTAGTTAAAATATTTTTCAATCTATCAATCCGTCCAAAACTATCCAAACAACGATTTGTCATTCCACTATTCAATTTATAATTTCTCTCAAACCGATCAAACTACACCGCGTACACCCCCAACCAACACCACCACCACCACCACCACCACTTCCCCAGAAAAAAAGAAAAGAAAGATATATTCAAAATTTACTTAAACAGTAAAAATAAAATTTTACTGTATCAATTTAACATTAAACAATAAATTTAACATCATCACCATTACCAACTGCCACGCTTACTACGATTTTTCCATTACTAGTAGAAATATTAAACAAAACATTGAGAGAGATGGAGAATAGAGAAGAAAGAGAGGTGTAGAAGAAAGAAAATTGAGAAAGTTAGAGGAGAGAGAGAGAGAGAGTTGTCGAATAGACAGAGACACAGATGAATATGAAAATAAAAGTGACTCTTACTATGGACACAGTTGTTGTCATTAATTTAATTTATGATATTTTTTTTAGGGAGGTTGGTCAATAAATTTTATATTTTGGATTTATAATTCATATAGGGTGTGTTTGATTGGACGGACTGGATAAGGGGATTAGAAACCATCGGACTTGAATCCTAGGACTGTGAATCCCCTGCACTGTTTGGTTGGATTGGATATGTATCATGTGTTTGTTTTCTCATACGATTAGATGTCTAGAAATGACTATTTTTAGTGAATCTAATATTTAGTTGGACGGAATTGTTCACTAAGTAATAGTAATATTAAACATATCTTTAATATTTTAATTATTTTTAGCTAGATTAAATAAAAATTTATTTTATTTTATTTTTTACACAATTAAATAAATTTATTTTTTAAAAATTAAATAAATAAAATATCAATAAAAATATACGTTATTTTTTTAATTAAAATTTTAAATAAATTTGTTTTTAAAAATAATAATAATTAAACAATAAAATTAAATGAAACATCTATTAAAATTTAAATAATGAAATTAAATAAAATATAAGCAAAATTTTAAAATAAAACATCAATAAAATATCTATAAAAAATATTTACAAAAAATTAAATAAATAAATCATCAATAAAAAGTTTTAAAAAAAAATTATTTTATTTTTAAATTGAGACATTTAGGTTTTGTTTGGTTTGTATTTAAGAAACATGTTTTAAGATAAAAAGTACGAAAATTTGTTTGGTTTGATTTTTTTTCAAAAGATATTTTGAAAAATTATTTTGAAATTTTTTTTTTGAAAAAAGTGATTGATTTGATGTGTATAAGAGAGAAATTTGTTTGAAAAATTTGTAAACCAAACAAGTTTTGAAAAAAAAATTTAGAAAAATTTGTTTGGTTTGATTACTTTTGAAAACTTATTCGTAGAGAATTTTTTCTAAAATTTTTTAAGAAACACAAACCAAACAAGGCCTTAAATTTTATTGAATTTTACTAAATATAATACATAATTAAATAATAGAGGGTTAAAATGGTCATTTTACCACCCAATCCCAACAGTTAATAGTGCCTCCAAAATTGTCTCACACCCCCCCGGGATAGTATAATCCCGCAACGCATCCAGCCGGATTCTATGTCTGGCGGATTAAAAAAAAAAACAAACGATGGACTACTCACTCCTTCGGATAAACAATCCGAACAGTGAATAATCCCCCTCCTAATCCCCCCAATCGAACACACCCAAGTGCTATATTTTTTATTGTGATTTATTTAGTCCTTTTATATGTGTAATGACTCATTTGTTTGCCACATTGGAGTGTCACATTTAAAAAAAGTACACTAAAGAGTTTTTAATTTTTTTTAGAGTGTCACATCACACTCGTTACGTTACAGTGCCACATGTCACGTTTGGAAAAGGTACAATAAGGAGTTTTGAATTTTTTTTAGAGTGTCACATTATACCTGCCATGTTGTCACGTTTGGAAAAAGTATATTAAGGAATTTTTTTTTTTAAAGTGTCACATCATACCCATCACGTTGTCATGTTTAAGAAAAATACACCAAGGAGTTTTTAATTTTTTTTTAGAATGTCATATCATACCTGCTACATGTTGTCACGTTTCACGTTGTCATATTTGAGAAAAGTACACTAAGGAGTTTTTAATTTTTTTAAGTGTCACATCATACCCGCCACATTGTCACATTTGGAAAAAGTATATTAAGAAGTTTTTAATTTTTTTGGAGTGTTGCATCATACTTGTCACGTTGTCACGCTTGAGAAAAGTATACTAAGAAGTTTTTAATTTCTTTTAGAAAGTCACATCATGCCTGTCACGTTGTCATGTTTGAGAAAAGTACAATAAAGAGTTTTTATTTTTTTTGAAGTGTCACATCATGCCCGCTACATTGTCACATTTGAAAAAAGTATACCAAGGAGTTTTTATTTTTTTTGAAGTAAAAGTTTTGGAATGTCACATCATATCTGCCATGTTGTCATATTTAGAAAAAGTACACTGAGAAGTATTTTATTTTTTTTGAATTGTCACATCATTGAAGTATTATATTCATATTTGCCACATTGGAGTATTACATTATACCTATCACATTAATAAAAGGGTATAACTGTCCACCAAAACACTACCAAAATAAAAAAATAAGACTATACGGAAAGAAACTCTCCATTGATAGGACTTAATAGATCCAGAGAAAAACTTAAAACTAATTGGAGTACTTATTTGTGAGATAAGATTTATTAGTAAATGTACGAGTACGAAATAATTCTTCTCGTATAATCCTGTTGACCAAGTCTGCGCTCCTTCAAACATTGTCGCTTTACTCCCTGAAAACACAAACGTGAGCTAGCCGGCGGGTGTGTGCCGGATATCTCTCCAATGCCTAAGTCAGAAAAATAGACAAATAGACAAAAGTTCTGTGTATTCGAGAATCAAAGTTGTATTACCTCTCCATAGGTGATGTTGTGAGCTTTTATAGGTTCCGTGTGGCCCAATCCTAGTAGGACTCTTATTCTTTTATATAGAGTCCTCCTAGGAATCACACTCCTGAAAGATAATGTTTATCCTTCAACACCCCTCTCACTGCTTAAACCAAGTGAGATAGTTTTACCTCGGTAGTATGACAAAACGACCGAGCTAACATAACTATGCTAAAGCGGCAGAAATGACCGAGCTCCAACTAGCTCGGTTCTTCACTTCATTGCTTGTACCTCGGTTTGGTCCGTCGAGACCGAGCTAACCATAGCAAGCTTGGACCGAGCTAATCAAGAGCAAGGTCTTGAGGAAAGCTCAAATCATCTCGACTCAGAATGGTATGACCAAGCTAACTACACCACACCGACCGTGGTAACCCCAAGTACAATTGGACAGAGCTAACTGCAAGGTCTTTTCACTCGGCCCTTTTTACCGCGGCCCATTTACTCAGCTCGGCCCAATTTATTTATAAATTACCCTATCAATTGCCCCTTAATTCCATCTGCGTAGCATGATTGGGATTACCCATATCTTGCCGAGCTAAAAGTTTTAGCCTTTCAACCGAGATAAAATGCCACCGGGCTACCGATTGGTTTGGTAAAATACGTCTTTTCAGTCACGCAGTCATCTGAATCGCTTGCTATTCCATAGACACGTGGCAGGCCCCTACTGGTTGAGTACAGTTGCCAACGCCGACTTCGTACCGCGCGAATTTTGAACAGTCCAGCCTTTTTCACTCTCTTTACACAAAACAAAACCCTATTTTTTGAACCAACTTATCACTATTCATCTTCTTCTCTCTCTACTTTTTGAGCCTTCATTTTTCCTCATCACTGCGTTTGCAAAGCTCTTCCTTGCGATCTCGATCTTCATCCTCTCCACTTCAAACTGTAAGTAACTCAATCCGTTTCCTTTTTGTTTTGTCTAGTTTCTGTAGTACATAGCATAATACTCGTATGCTTTTCAAAACACATATACCTTTTTTGCTTCCATTTTTCTGGGAAAGAACCACGTAATAGAACCACTATATTCATGAATAATCTGAAGAACGACGCATTTAATCCAAAATAGAATTTCAACCGAGCTAGGAACTTGTTTATACTTAAGGTGTGCACCCAGCCGAACTATATTAAGTTCCAATAGGTCTTCCCTTCAGTTTCACTTAGCCTTACTAAGGAACTGTATTAGACATGCGTACTACCGAACTAGAAAACCTTAACCAAAGACCGGGCTACCACTTGGCCCCAAACCAGCTCTCTCACTTAATAAAAATCGA